AAGCTAGGCTAATTTCCATTTTCTAGCATGCGTGTGCACATTCACTATATACTGCACAATCATTTTTATGTGTCCAAGTGTAGGGTAATTCAACTTTCCTTGGTTTTGCATGTCTTCACATTTGCCCATTTATTGTTGAGTCATTTCTGCTAGTGTGTTGTTTCATTGTCGGATTCTCACCGTTCAAAAATTATTTTTGATGCAACATTACCTTTCTGATTGATACTCAAAACTGGGAAGAGTGACCTTTTTGAGGTTTTGCATTAAATGCATCTCCATGGACGTTCTGAACTTACAAATGGTCATATGTGTTGTATATTGTAAGTCAGTCCCGTGACACCAACATATATTCAATAAAAATGGTGACATAGTCTTTAATTAAATGAATTGCTTAATTTAGAGATGTCACATGGCATAAGTTCAAACTACCCTTTATCTAATACTTCATTGTTAGACTTTTGCATTCGAATACATGCTACGAACTTTCAACTTGCCTATTTGTTCCTTTCTCAAGGTGTTCGGGTTGGACAACACTTGGCACTAGCTATTGCTTTACACAACATCCCAGTGGTTTTTTTTTCGCAATATCGAATTATAGTGTACTGTTGTGTTGATGTCATGGTTCTTTTTTTTTTGAATGTCCCTGCTCCAGCATGATGTCGGTTTTGATTTATATCTTGACATGTAACTAGACTCCTAAGTATATACGAATACATAAATATGTTCATGAAACGATCCGATAATGCAGTTAGATGCCTTGCACGACAATTTTATTGGCTTTTATTCCTTATATGCCTTCGTCCACTTTCTTTCAACTTGTAAATCTTTCAAAAGCATGTAGCTGAAAATACATGTACTCAACTCTCATGAATGTATACTTCTGAGTTAATATTCACAGGTAGTTGTTAAAGTGCATTACACATATTGGCTCTAAGATAGTAATTGGTTTTCTATTTCATGTGTTTGCAGTCGTTATTTGTTTATTGCTTGCTCTTTCGTTTCATCAGTTGCTGGTTTGTGAATATTTTCAATTCACATCCAAAAATAGACTGCATTACATCGAGCAACTACATACAAATTATTTAAAAACTAAGAGTACAAGATGTTTTCTGAGATTTAGTTAAAAGTTTTTTGCATACTCTTAGAATCAGTTCTTTGAATTTAATTGGAGTTGCGGCCATGGTTCCTATTTGGTTTTTTTGTCCTATAAGATTCATGAGAAGTGCAACTATATGTCCTCGGATTGCAAACAAACACTTCATAATTCTCCGACACATTACAATAAATCAAGACATGTTGATGCGTCACTTAGGAATACATATGTTACACATCTTCCATTTAGCGTGGCACTATGTTTGCTCTTCTGCTGACATATGGAATTTTGTGATTTCAGTTTGTTGTTACATGTCCTTTTTCTCATGCTACTGAAAGGTAGAATATTGAATAATAACTTAAATATGCATCTTCAGTAAACACATTCACGTTCAGAGAATTATGTACACAACTTTGCATGCATAACTCACAGTTGGCAATCGACTCTTTTTTTCTTCACCCTTTTTGTTGTTGAATACTATTTTACATGTACATTAGGTGTGACTAAATCATGCAACGAATGCTTGTTACGAATGGGTTTATTATTATAGATAGCTATAGAAATAACAGTTCAGCTCTGACAATCTCGACAGATGGCTGCATAACCACAGATGGAAGTCATTTCTCGAGATTAACTTTCGGGTATCGATAGATAAACTGTCTGCCTGACAGGTGATGTCAGTTGTCCACCACACTTGGACCTTTTTGCGATGGGGTAATCACATGTGCAAACAATAAAAATTCTTTGCTCATCAGATGTCTTTAAATGTATCTTGTCCATGTTGCCAATGTTCGAGTGTCATGCATTACCGTTTCACGTGTGTGGCATTATGATGTTTGGTTCATGCACGTGTTTTATGCGATACATTATGTTTTACATTATGATCTAACTCCAAACTTTTTCTCACTGCACCTTGTAGGACAGATGGAGTTTGAATTTTTCATTCCGGAATATGCATGGTTGTGGGCCTACATTTCGCAATGAAGCAACTTGAAGTATGTCAAGAAGGTGATGGAGCATTTCAATGAGGGAAAACACGAGGACTTTCGTAACTCCTGTTTGGGATTTCTGGCCGAGGTTCCTGACATACAAGTCTCCACCCAACTAATCCAACAGCTAGTTTTGAGAACCACCCACACTGATAAGGTGAAGGAGCTGTGGTTCAACGTGTAAGGCCACATGATGAGGTTCGGTTTGTAGGAGTACGCTGTTGTGACAGGGTTAAGATATGGTCTTTTCTCGAAGGGCGATCACTTCACTCGAGTGCTAGAGAGAAGGGGTTGAAAGAGAGGTACTTCAAATCCATTGACAAGATTTCTTGTGCGCAACTCCAGACTACTTTTGTCTAACCTTCGACGACCCGAGCTAATTATTACAACGGCCTAGTTCTAATTGTCGAAAGAGTTTTCAATGCTCCGGATAATAATGTCGGTATCAATTGGGACACACTATCAATTGTCGATGACCTTGACTTATATTTTGCCAATCCTTGGGGTAGTGTGGGATACAGACATATGTTGTAGGGATTTCGGGGTGGTTGGGTAAGGAAATTCCACGACGTGAAGAGGAAGATGGAGAAGAAGATCACTTACACGGTTCACGTCTTTCCTATTACCATGTAGGTACGAATAATTACTTTTATGTTATCATGCTTGATTTAACACAACTATATTTTCGTGCCTACAATTTCACCAATTTAGCATAAATTTTTCTTCCTGCCACAAATATGGGCATAAGAGGTGTTTTCAAAGATTGATGAACGTTTCGGTCAACAACTCGGTGAACGAATGCCACGACTTCTTAGCTGGTCATCTAGAAAATAGCCACAACATCATACATACGAGGCATTTTTCAAGAATGTATAGGTACGATCTTTCATGTTTCATGTTGTTATAATGAACGTTTCGTTTCCTGCGTACCTTCTCATCTGACACTTGAAACCTTATTTCGCAACTGCACATGTACGTAATGCTACGTCCCACCGATTTTGAGCGTGAGTAACCATATGTGTCCACTCTTGTGCCATACAATGATCTCTCTATGACCGTGTTGGATGACATTACCAGGAACATCGTCATGCCACAGTTTCATGCATCGCGTTTCGGCAGTGGAGATAGTGGACAATTGTCTACTGAGGATTCCAACGACGGAGAGTCCAATAGAGAACCGCTGAGGATGAGATATCTGGACCTGATGACGAATAGGAGCGGTCGGGTAGTGATCGCAATAAGTCAAGTACTAAAGACAATGGAGACAGTGATAACGACGATGAGCATACCCGTGCAGGGCACATGAGTGTGTCTTCCACACCTCGCGCGCTACGAGTTTCTCGTCTCGTGCCACGACCACATACACGATAGATGGAACTTTGAGAGCTTTTTTGAAGAGAGCGAAAGTTGAGGAAATGTTGTTGGATTAGATAATCTTTATTGAAATGCAACTGTGAACAGTGAAATTTGTAATCAATTAGCATGTAACCTTCAAAACTACAAGACTTCGGGAGTTCATATCTACCCTCGTGCCCCCACCCGATTTGACCAACACTATAGATGCGATGGTACCCAAGAATGAGGCCGGAGTATCAGGTAGTATACCACGAGGTATGTGTATTACTTATAGAAAAGTTAAGATTATTACATATAACATATGTTTGAGCAGTTTCCATTCTACCCGTTGCTCATATTTTTCTTAATATTGCAACTGTGACACAGACATATATGGAAGATACATAGAGCCATGCCCGGATGACCAGGATGTGCCATTGCCTACTGCAAACGAAGAACCGCAAGGTATGTGCATTATTTATTCCGTAATTTGAAAATCGTTATTTCACCTCATCTACTTGTGTACTTACTATGTGTTGTTTCAAAAAATCGAACTCATTTTCATCATTTCAATTGTTGTTTTGAACTAGATGGAGAATAAATTGACCCACAGCCAGATGCGCATGAGGGTTCATTCGATACTTAAGTGCAGGATGTGAACGATATGTACGTTGTGTATTCGAAAATATAATGTTTTGTACTATAGTTTGATCTCATGAGTTAATATCTGCCGTTATAAATGTTGAACGTGACAGTATTACATATGTGTCTTGTTTTCATACAGATGGATGAGGCCTGGACCTCAAAGCATAGGGCCCAATGAGCGATGAGGAGCACTTGACTTGCGGCGTGACGGATGTTAACGGTAAGATGTGTATTTGAAACTAGTGTTTATATTATGTATGGTAAGTGGAGAGAATTTTGGCTAAGTAACTCGATCCGTTTAGATTAGATATAGATCGGACTTACCCATATCTGATCCGATCCTATAAGTGTATTTCATAAATTCGATCAGAGAATCTAATGAATATTTGATTGCTAAATCCATATCCGATTCACTATGTTATCGGATATCCAATTCGATAATTCGATCCGAAATATTTTACAAGTTCATTTTTATTGCAATACAAGAAAATAACCATATTAACATGCTGGCAATTGGCATGTTCGAGAATAATCCACAAGATAAAACGAACTAAAATATGCATATTACAATGAATACATATCCAACAAATGTTCTAGAGAGAAGTAAGCAACTAAAACTAGGAAAAAGAAATTCTCGAGCACTGGTTTAAAAGTTTCGGCTCTTTCTCCATATCATATCATCCACCATTCCACCACACCTACAAAAAAAAAATGTTTAAAAATAAAAGGTATACAAAAAAATATCATTTCAAGCAATTGAAAACATAGAATTATAAGTAAAACTTACATTAGCTCCAATCCTTAAGAAGCATTATTTTTTATTTTGTGGGGCCTTGTTTGTAGAATTCATGTCAAGTTCTACAAGGACATTAGAAATTAAGTACTTATAAAGAATAAATAATAATATATAACGACTTGGAAAAAAAATATAACCAACCTCAATAATCAGCATACTTACTCTTCTTTTTTAAAGAGAAAAGCCAATCTTGTGGATTCATCAAAGCCTCTACAATTTCGGGAAGTAATGAAGCACAAAAATCATCAATTACTCTCCCTCTTACACTAAATGTAGCCTCAGATGCAACAATAGTTGCTGGAACAGCTAATATGTCACGAGCAATTTTTCCAAGAATGGGGAATTTAGCACTATTGATCTTCCACCAATTCAAAATTTTAAAATTTTCAGTTCTTGGAAATAATGGCTCCTCCAAGTACTTCTTTGACTTCGAATTTTTAGAAGAACATGACAAATTAAAAGATCGAGATTGTATTGACCAAGGATCAAACCCACTCAACTCCTCCTCTAGAGAAGCCCCCATTCCATGATCACTACTAGAACCAAGTTCTTGACTTACTTCCACTTGAGATTGAGATAAATTATCATCATACTCATTGAAAATGTCAAATATTGTCTTACAAACTCTTTCAACAAATATGAGCATCAACACCATATAGCTTATCATAATAATATTCAACCAAATCCATTTTAAATCTTGGATAAAAAACGACAGCAACTGCTAATATCAAACAACATTCCTCCAAATATTTAACAAACTTCAGTTTCATTGGGCCAGCCATTATACACAAAAAGCTATGCTCACTACTTTCCCACTTAGATGAATGTAGTTGAATATTACAAACATCAGGAAAAAACACATTTGATGTGGGAAAATGAGAACCAGAAAAATGATTTGTTGCATCATAAAATATTCTCAAGCAATCACATAAAATTTTATCAATTTTCCATTTTTCATCACTTGGATAGAGTTTATAGTTACGATCTATTTGTGCTAAGCGCCAAAGCACCTCTTTCATCGCTATTGCACTTTCAATCATTTGAAAAATAGAATTCCACCTAGTAGAACAATCCATCTTTAACTTCTTCTTATCTTCCAACTTAAGTTGATTTTTTACACGAGTAAACTTCTGTGTTGCATATGAAGACCTTTTCAAATACTTCATAGTTTCTCTAACCTTGTGAATAAACTCTCCAATTACTTTTAACGCATCTTGCACAATCAAATTAAGAATATGAGCACTATAACACACATGAAATAACTCACCTTCCAAATGTATTGTAGACTTGTCACAAAAGCCAACATTTCAAGCTTCTTACCATCGCATCGTTGACAGAAGCATTGTCAACCACCATGGCGAACAATTTTTTTCTCCAGATTCCAATCCAAAATCATATCAATGATGTATCTAAAAAGTGTTTCTGCATCATGAGGATATTCAATCTATCTAAAACGAATTATTTTTTTGTTCAATTCCCAATCATCATCAATAAAATGAGATGTCAAGTATATATAACCAATATCTTAATGGTCAGATGTCCAAATATCAGTAGTTAGAGTGATTCTACTTGGAAGTCTCCCCAAGGTGGTTGTATAACTTCTCATTTTCACTTTTATAAACTTCAAATATATCAGACCTCACTGTATTTCTTGACACAAGCTTACAAACCAATACAAAAGATCTCAAAATATTCATGTTTAGCCATATTAAAAGGATAATTATGCATGATAACCATCTTAGCAAAATCCATCGTAGTTTCAATTGGTCAAACTTATGATTTTTAACTATGGCAGCAGCCTCTAAGGAACTTTTGGAAATGGATAGCATTTGTTGACCAATGTCCGTACTACCTTTCTCATTAAACCTTTTCAAGTGATTCTTTAAGTGGCTAGTTCCTTTACCACTCTCCTCTACAAATTCTTTACGACAATGCTTAATTGTGCAATCTCATTTCCTTTCAGCCCTTTAAATTTTACAAAATCATCCCATACCCTGGAAGTCAATTTTCATCTCTTAGGAGAAGGTGGAGGTGAATCTTTAACTTGTATAACATTGCAAGCACCATCTTTTTTCTCTGCTTCAATGCCGACCTTCTCGACCATTGTACATATTTGAAAAGTTGAAAAATCAAGATCGAAATGAGAAAATTAGGAAAGAATGCAACAATGCAAGAAGATACTAATTGAAGATTTGACAAAATCTATCATTCTTATTCAATAATGAATAAATGGTATGTAAAGGTAGTAAAAGAGTTACAGAACATGTAAGGGAAAAAATTGAAGAATGACAAATAGTGCATGTTTTCTCTGTAAGGATTTTTCCTGATCCTAATGCAAGTGTGACTCAACATTAATGTTATGTTGAGAAGACCAATTAATAAAATGGTTGTTAATAGTACACTGATCATTGCCTACTTATTTCTGGATTTTCTTGACTCCTTGAAAATCATTAAAGAATTATTTTCTTACCCAAATGCAAATGATTGTTGTGGCTTTAACATGATTAATTCTAGTTTAAACTGTACCTTTAAAGACATTAATAGATCACTTAAATAGTAAGGTGTGATAAGAAAATCATTTCAAGGCACTTTAATCCTGTATTATACCAGGGACAGATCCTTTGCAACAAACAGTAAGGCATGATAAGAAAATAATTTCAATGACTTTCTAATTGCAAAGGAATTATGAATAAATGATGTCTTATATAATTGCAGTACTTATCTAACAACAAATTGTCAAAAAAAAAAAAACTGGTAAGAAGGGTGAAGCAAAGCTACGAAAACACAAACCCGCTAAAATCACTAGAAAAAAGTAGGCAAGAGTGATGGTTTTTACTGGCTTACTGCAAATGAGATGGAGATAAGTGAAAAATAAAAAAATTGAAACTCTGGGAAGCACAGAAGTGGGTATTGGATTTGGAGGAGAAATGAATCTTTGAGAATTTTGTTTTGGTTCTTGAAACTTGAAAGGTCTGTTTGTATTGCTTGGGTTTAATGTACAGGATATTGAAAGGTCTCTTTTCAAGTTTCAAAGCTTCTCTTTGTATGCCCATGTATTATTCGATCATTTAACAGTAAAACAAAGTTTAAAGAAAGCACGCTTAGGTTGTTATCAGATTGGATAATATTATTATAAAATATATTATATTATTAGAAAATTGGATCGGGCTGTTGTCGGATCGGATTGACCTTTATCCATATTTATTCCATTTAATTAACAAATTTTTGGATTCGGATCTTAATCGGGTTATCAGATTGAGACTTTAAATCCATCTCCCATTAATTTCATCGAATTCGGATCAAAATCCAATCCATTAACAACCCTAACTGTAGTCGAAGCAGAAGGCGGAGTTACTACAAAGATGCGACGATCGCATGCCTTCGACGTACAACACTCGTTACCAGGACTCCATAAATGAGGGAGATGGTGAAGAGAATAAAGAAATAAGTGTGAATGAATTGTTAGCTCAGCATGGGGACGCCGTTGAACTTGGTTTTGCATTTCATTGAATTGGTTTGGGTGGTGAAGGAATTTAATTAACAGGGTTACTCAATTTTTATGTTTTTGATTTACATTATATTTCAATGACTCCTGGGTAGCGTGGTGACGCGTAGACGCATTTCTCTCCTGGCAGGTTGCGGTATGCTTATTTACTTTTGCTGAAACTATTTATATATTCCATTCACAATTATTTGTGTCGTTCTTTTGTTACTTGAATCTTCAGTTCATTAATTAATGTCTAATGATGTTCGTCACACTCGTAAGTTACATTGTTTAGTCACTGACGTAATTTTTCGATGATCAGTTGTATAAGCCTACCACCACTGTCGTAAGACATTGTTCGTAAGTGTCGGATCACATGCAATTCAAACACGTTGTTGTCAATATGGCTAATGTAGATGTACCTCATGAGGACGTGAACGAGGCTGTTAATGACGTGCATGTGGCGAAGGAGGATTTATGATACATTGTATGAATCAACAGACTTCCATCATGAGTTTATATTAGATTGGCAGCCTATATGATGATGAAGGTGAACTGTTTTGCATTTCTATACGACTTTATGGGGCATTAATCTTGGGGATAATTTATACCATTTATATGGGTTTCAACAAATTCACAAATATAAGTTTCTTTAGATAAGGCGTGTTGCTGCTTACATTATGTTGGTGATGCCTACTCTTGTAGTTTGAACTCCTATGTCATATAGTTTAATAATGGACATAGTGGTTATAAATTGTGTCACATTAGTCTGTTGCCACTGTCATGAGTCATTTCACATAAGCTTCGGATCACATGCAATTCCAATATATTCTTTAAAAGTCAGTGGTTGGAAATGTAGAGCACCATTACGAACCAGTGAATGAAGCATTTAATGAGATCTATATGGCTTTGGAGGATTCATGACAGGTTGTGTGAAACAATTGTGTTACATTACGAAAAAAGTACTAGATTGTCCTTGCAAAATTCGTTACTAGTGGTACGTGCATTTCATTATTTAGCTTTGTATACCTACATGCTTGGGGCTAACTTATAGCATAATGTCGAACAGCCGTTGCAAAATCATGAGCTCCTTCAGATGAGCCTGGTGGCCTTACACGTGTAGAAGGCCACGTATGCAAAATATCAATATTTCATTGTCGAGGAAAGCAACGAATCATTAGGAAGTGTGCAATGGAGTAACTACTGGCCTATATATTGTCCATGATCCCCACTGGATGAACGTTTGTATATTCCGTTACTGTGTAATATTTCAGTCCAATGATGAATTTTATGCGACTTTGTTTGTTAGATAGTGGGATATTGTCGTTAAAGACTTTTGGCTAAACTACATTATTAGATGTCGAGCCGTTGGATACTGTTTGTTTAAATTGTACCTTTGCACCTGCCTAACATTTTGTCAATATCATCCATTTGCTTCGAGAAATAATACCGTCTCTTACTTTCAATGTTGTAAATGCTGTAATACGATAACTGAAGATGAGCTGAATGTAATACTGTGCTTCAAGAAATAATTGTTTCTTACTTTCAATGGATAGTGGGATACCGTGTAATACTTAGTTTTTATGTTTTTGATTCACATTACATTTCAATGACTCTTGGGGATAATTTATACCATTTATATAGGTTTCAGCAGATTCACAAACATAAATTTCTTTAGATGAGGCGTGTTGCTGCTTACATTATGTTGGTAATGCCTACTCTTGAAGTTCGAACTCGTAAATGACCATAATTACTTCTTCCCTTCAAGTTGGTTATAAATAGCATGACTTCATTGTTAGTTACACATAGAAAACTTCATTAGTATTGTGAGACTTTCAATTTCTCACATCCACAAACCGTTTCATTAATTGCATCACATCGACATAATGAGTTCGTCCATGGAAAGCAACAAATCATTCAACCTAAACAAGCTTTTGCAAGTTCCCGATTCATCCCCGTTGTTTCCAATCTACATTTCATCAGATGATGAGGAAGTTAACCCTTATATTGGTAGGAGAGCCACTTCTGCTGTTCCTTTTTCCAACTTGGATGAAGTTGTGACTGAAGGGACGATGATTGACGTGGTGTTTGAGGTCATGATTTGGTACGAAGATGAATTCGACGACAGCGACTTGCTTGGCATACGTACTACAGAATGAGATAATTGTTATCTCATCGGATGAGTCAAATGAAGAGGGCAGGGGAGAAGGTTCAGCTGTTGACGACGAATGAAGTAGACGCTAATAAAACGTAGTGTAATAAGTTATGTATAGTCCTTTCTTTTGCAAGGATGAATTTGGTAATGTCCTTACCAAAAAGTCAACATGACCACGCCCCTAATGTTCAAATTCGTGTAGTGTATTTTTAGTACTCCGATCCAAGTGTTGAGAATGATAAACAGTTTGTCAGGAACGACAGATGAACTATCAAGCTGTAATGCAAAATGTTGTCAATGGATCTGTATTTTGCTTATCAAGTTGAACACATATTCGCCTATCTATGAACAATAATGAAATGCTAATGGCAATGTAAGTTGAAGAAAATATTTTAAGTTGATAATGTATTGGGAAACACCTAAGGTTGAGTAGATGTTATGACAGGTATGTATGCTTCTGTGAAATCCTCAGCGTTCAAGCATGAGAAGCAATAAAGATAACGAAAATGAGATTTTTGTTGCTGATTTTTTCAAAAATTTCAAAAAGCTCTCCAACTGTGAAACTGTTAAAGTATTTCGATCCAATTTTGGTAATTGTCCTCCTTCTTATGTTCGTCATAGTAATACTAATTATTGGTAAATGATGTTTTCATTTATGCGTGAATCGAGTCCATTATTTATAATGTTACTAATTACAATTTATTTTGTGGGGATTGAAATTAGAATTTTTAGAGGATTGTGATACAAATTTTTGAATTTATAGGTTGAATTGTTTTGAACAACCATAAAGTTGAAGGGCCTTTGTACGATTTTAAAGAATCAGCAAATCAGTCTCACATTGTGTCTATTTTTTTTGAACAAATATGCAGTTCATCCTTTACCTTATCTGTAATGCTTTGTGTACTTTTTCATCAACTGTCAAGAACTAATAAGACATCTGCTAGGACCGACAGTTTAATTGTCGGGATGTTGTGCATGTCGTCAACATAAGCTTCCATAATTTGTATATGAACATAAGAAGCACTAACGTCCACTAACGATAATGACAACAATATGATAATATAACTTCATAATATACAATGCAGTAGGGAACATTGTACATACAACAAGGACGACGACATAGAGCGACTGTCTAAGAAACTTGTGTTGTATTGGGGTTTGAACATATGGTTTGGTTATGACCAACTTGACTACAGTGAGTGCATTTCCTGCTTGACGATGCAGACTCGTATCTAGAAATCTTACGCCGTATAGGTGGTCTATCTGGAGGACGACATACGAGGGGTAGCAAAATAGGAGTACATGAAATTAAGTTCGGAACAATCGAGTCCACTTCCCTCGTAACAGGATATATAGCTTTTCTATAGGCACCCCTCCAGTATTCAAATGTGTAATAAGGGGAGCATAGGTCGTATAGAGACTTCCTTTTCAAGCAAGCAACAAGAGTTGCATGAACACATGACATACGATTTAGTTAGAACTCATAACACATGCACATGTCATCGGAAAAGTCTAATATGTTCGTGTCGTTGAATATTCCAACTTAGGTTAAGTTGTCTGTCAACACATGAGCTTGAAGCCTACTACCAGATTCGAATGTCGTCTATAACTCGTTCTCTATCCTTGACGGAGGACAATATGGTACTGCATTCAATCGTATTTATTCGACGTTCGTAAAATCACTTTTACATAGTACTCCGAATGTGTTCAACCAAGCAGGTGATAAATAACGAACGGGCTTGTCTCAACATCGAGTTCAAAGATTATGCGTTGTTGTTCATCATAATGTTGTACCAGTGGCCAATGAGTAGTGCTCCAGACCAAAAAGAAAAACCTACTCACTTTAAGTACCTGTACGATCTTTTGCTCAACCTACGAATCTATCCCATGAGTCTTTCAAACTCTTTGACTCGATAAGTTGTAGCAACTCGTTTGAATATAAAATATTACACTTGCATTGTTGTACTACTGTATTAAGTTCTTTTCCATATGCCATATACAACAACCATGGTGAGACAACGGAAATAACTGTACAATTGCTTTCTCAATACTTTTTTCCTATCTAAAACAAATACAAGTTCTTTCTAGTCGCCTATAAGGTCTTTCAAGTTTGACATAAATCACATCTAGGATTTATTAGTTTCAGCATCCACGATACTCCATGCTAACGGATAATCTGCTAGTTGGCATTTTGGACAGTTGCCACTATAAGTGTACCTTTGTATGGACCTTTTTAGTGACTGTTGTCAACACAAATAATGGGCCTCAAGTATTGCACGCAACCACGAATGCTTGCATAGATTGCAAGGAAGATGTAATGAAACCTATCAAGAGAATCAATTTCGATGTGGATTACTGTCCCCGGGTTACTCTCCCCTAGGATGTGGCAGTATGACAATAGTTTTTGAAAACTGTCCCCCAGTGTACTTTGTAGCACATGGAAAGCAGCCAACTTCCCCTTACGTGCTTTGTTGTAACTGATTTTCACATCGAACTCATGTTCTATGTCACGTGCAATAGCGGTATGGTCATACGATTGGTATGAATTATTCAGTTTATACAAAATGTGCTCGGCAACAATTGATAATAGTGGCATGCCAATGTGCGTCACGACGAAAATCAACGGAACACCCGTGCACGTTGTTGAATTTATGGATCATGAAGATTGTAGATTGCTTGATAGTCGAAACACGTAGCATTCACTTGCAATTAACGTCCGTGCATACAACAGTTAACATTTTCATGCTTGAACTGTTGACCTAAAATTGGAACTTATCTTGCAAAATAAGTGCACGAATCTTTGAGTACAACTCTTTCTTACTAAAGAATATTTACTTTTCGGCGAGATCAGATGTATCCACAGGTGTAATCCAATCATATATGCCCAAAGTTATGGAATGTGAGGACATTTACTCGTCAATGTTAGCAATATTAGCACCCTTTGTACCATGTAACGGGTTGTCTAAGTTCTCATTTAATGCTTCAACCTCCTTCTTAACAATTGGAGGTTCGGGTGCATTATTGTTCGACGCACTGTGCCAATGATATCATGATATACATTTTGGGGCACATCCACTGAGGCGAACAAATTCCTTGCACATTTTGCATCCCTCTCTATGTCAACACTCGAGAGCTCGATTTCCAAAATAGTAACATAGATTGCAGTTTCCTTATGAACAGATATGTACTAATTCAATCCTTCATCGTCGCATATTTTGACTAGAGGTGTATTTAAGTTCCGGACTTTGAACTTCAATTCAATTTCAGTGCGAGGCTCAACAATACCAAGTTTCTGCTTCAATCGTAACACAAGTTCAGCTACGATAATACTTCTTGGAGCTAAAATGGAAGTTGTTTTGTTTCCTCTCTACTTCCATTCGTCATCCACATGAACAAACTTTTCCTATGCGATACAATGAATCTCAAATAATGACTCATACTTGAAATGTTGGGACTGCAAAGGTGAGAAATCTGTACATTCCATATGCGAATATTTAGATCCATGTAGTACCAAAAAGGAAAGGGTGTTAATAGTTTTCTGGTCTCGAAATCAACAGTTAAATTGCCTATCCGACAGTTAGTAAATGTTGAGTTCGACAGCTCAAACGTTGAACCCAACGATTTAGAAGATCCTATTCGACAGTTGAACTACCATAATTTTCGAAGAAGCTTAAAAAATATGTGTTTGCTTCTTTGGAAGAAGTTATTGAAAACATCAATGGTGATAATCAATTTTCAACTACAACAACACAATATCTTCCCACAAATAAATAAGAAATAATTAAATGCTTCATTAAATATGGAATCCTTCACATTTTCCAAAAGATGTTGGTATTTTTTCCCTTAAAAAAATATATCAAAAATAAAACAATCAATGAATAAGATATTTAAAAAGTTCAATTAAATGACCATATTGTATTAAACATTTAAAGTAGTAAACTATGATATAAAAATATAAATAATTTATAGTAGCTCACATTTGAGATTGATCAATAGTTTTCACTTGTTGATGATGGAATGAAGATGGTAAAGAAGAAGGTAGGGTTTGCGTTCACACGTGTTTATGTGTATTTTTTTTAATTTTTTACCATATTTTTAGTAAAAATTCATATTAAATATAATAGTCGTATATTAAGTTTAAAATATATAAAACAAATCATTACATCACATCATTAATTACATTCAAATTAAGTAGTTATTGCTCCTAAGAATGTGTTACAAAAGGTAAAATGAACATTTTGCTAAAAAAAAAAAAAAATTAAAAATAAAATAGGGATATTTTTAGAAGAAACTGATGGAAATTCCCCGGATATTTCTTACGCTCAAACTTTACTCTGTTAACCCATTCATCATTCCAAGTTTCTTGAATCCAATTTTCTTGAATCATTCATCATTCCAATTTTCTTGAATCTTCTCTTCCCAAAATATCTCCAGCCTTTTACGTCAGTAGCTTATCAGAAATTCAGATTATTTGCTGTACGTTTCGTATTGATTCTTATTTCTTCGATGCATATTTCGCAAGTGAATGCTTGATTTTCAACTTCTGGGATTTCTTGATTTTGATCTTCTTGATGATACTGAAATTGTTTGGTTCGATTTGTACTGTGAGGAAGCGTCTGCACAGTGTTTCCCATTTTCCTGTGAGCTGAAATGGTGAGTTTTTAGAAATCGTTTAATTGCTTTTCTGACTCTATATAACAATGTTTGCTTGGGTAAATCAGATGGTTGATTTTTCTGAAATCGTTGAAAAAGCTCTCTTGTTTGTAAGCATAGACTTAGAGGAGAATACAAACATTCTTCAAAAAAAAAAAGATTTGCTGACAAGGAGAAGGGATGATTTGCATGCAAAATTACAAAATGCAGTGTATCTTCCAAGAAAAAAACGCAAGACAGAGGTTGAAGATTGGTTGGGTAATGTTGAAGACTTAATAACAGAATTTGAAACCTTGAGAGCAGAAGTACAACGGGGCAGAATTCTTGCACGAAAAATGTTGAGTGAACGGGTTGAAACAATGACTAAGGAAGCGATGGAGCTTCTTGAGCAAACTGGTTATCTTAATGAGCTTTATATTGAGGTTGATGAGAGGATTGCCCCGCTATTGGTTTCATCCAAACACAATGGCCGAGCATTCCTTCAAATTGTTGATGAAATTTGGGTGTCGTTAATGGATGATAGCGTCTTAAGCATTGGCATTTATGGAATGGCAGGAGTAGGTAAAACAACTGTGGCAATGTATGTCCATGATAAGCTCTTGGAGGAGCCCAGATTCTGTGGTCAAGTTTATTGGATCACAGTCTCTGAAGAATTTACAATCTACAAATTGCAGAATGAAATTGCTGTTTTCTTGAAACTGGATTTATCGGATGAGAATGGTGTGAAAAAAAGGGCAGCTAAACTCTCTCAGGTACTCAAGAAAAGGGAGAAATTTGTCCTAATATTGGACAACGTCATGAAACAAATCGATTTAGAGGATATCGGTATTTCTGAAGGAATGACCGGTTCCAAATTGGTCATAACAACTCAATCAGAAAACGTTTATCAATGGATGGGCTGCCACAGAATTATAAAAGTGAACACACTTCCCCATCAAGAAGCTTTGGAATTGTTCTTTAATCAACTTTGCAGAGTTGAACGTCATCCTGAGGTAGAACGGATTTGCAATAAAATGGTAGAACGGTGTGGTGGTTTGCCACTTGCACTTGTTAAATTAGCTAAAAGCATGAGGGGAAAAAATGACATTGAAGATTGGAGATATACATCAGGAGCACTGGAAAATTCATGTATGGGTCTTGCCGTCATGGAAAATGATGTTTTTCCAATACTCTCGGATAGTTATGAACAACTGAGTAATACAAAACTAAAAAGTTGTTTCTTGACTTGCTCCCTGTATCCTGAAAACCATCCTATTCCAAGAGAAGAATTGATTGAAAGTTTCATTTCAGAAAAGCTGGTGGAGAGAAGTTATAAAGGGTTGGGAGCTGAGATAGACCAAGGTCATGCAATACTGAATCAATTGGAGGGAGCCTGCTTACTGGAAAGGGCTTCAACAGATCGGCATGTGAAGATGCATTATATGATGAGAAGCATGGCAATATGGATCAAGAAGCCTAGATACATGGTAAAAGCTGGACATAGCTTAGGGGAGATACCAGAGGTGCAAGAATGGACAGACGATTTGGATGTGGTTTCTTTGATGAATAACTCTATAGAGGAAATTCCACCTGGCATGACACCCAAGTGTTGTGGACTTTTAACATTAATTTTGAGACAAAATCCTCTGAAGTCAATTCCAAATTGTTTCTTTGAGCACATGCATGGTCTACAGACTCTCAATTTAAGTGACACTTCTATTCAGAACTTGCCAGATTCCATGTCAGACTTGGAGAATCTAAGAACATTACTGCTGAAATTTTGTAATAAACTGGAGTCAGTGCCATCCTTGGAAAAGCTCAAGGAATTGAGACATTTGGACCTCACAGGTACCAGTATTGAGGAAGTACCCCAAGGTATGGATAGCTTAATCAACCTCAGATTTCTATATTTGAGATGTCCTAAATTAAAGGTGTTACCAACAAAGGCTTTGCATAAATTCTCACATCTTCAGAGACTCTCATTGCCAAGTCATATATGTATGCCAATAAAAGAAGTTGAGGCATTTAAACACTTGGAAGTATTAGAAGGCTGATTAAATAGCGTAAGTAACCTCAATCAATTAGTAAAGTCTCAACAAATTAATAGGCGACTCATTTCCTATGCTATTGTTTTAAGCTCTGACAAAAGTTATGAATCTGATGCTATTCATACATTATCTTGTAAACAGATAAGTTTTGGAGATGACAGTCTCATAGAATCCTCTTCAGGCAAAGATGAGAATTTGCTGTTGCGAGATATTGAGGAATTATACTTTAGGAGAAGTGGCATGGGTAGTTGCTTATTAGATGATTTCCCAATTCTGAATGGTGCTAGGGATTTGAAGTCATGCACAATATTAAATGAGGATAAAATAGAGTGCATTATGAGGTTATCATCTGCTGAAGAACAACAGTCTGGTGGGGCCCCATTTAAAAGCTTTCAATCGTTGTCCCTGGAAAATTTGCCAAAATTTTTTGGTCTCTTCATGTGGGAAGCAGTTGCACCTTTTCCACTCGGCTCATTTTCCTGTCTCAAAAAGTTGACGATTGAATTGTGTGATAAAATGAAGAAGCTTATCCCTCTGAGTTTGGTGCGCAATTTCCATAACCTCCAACACTTGACCGTTACTAGTTGTTCACGAATGGAGGAGATAATAGAAGATGACAACAATGATGGAGTAAACAGTAGTAGTAAAGACACCACATTTCCATGTTTAAAAATATTTGTATCTGAGATATCTGCCATGACTGAAGAGCATCTGCAAGGGTATGATTTGTTGTGATTCTATTCAGGAAATTCATTTGGTGGGCATTAAAATGATGAAGTGCCTTTATATCTGCGGCTTCTCGATGGACAACCATCTCCTCCCCCTTCTCTTGAATTAATCAGGATAGCGAGAGAAGAGGAAGAATGGTGGGAATCATTGGAGTGGGACCGTCACAATGCCAACAGCATCCTTGAACACTTGGTACATTACTGCAATGAGTGAAGGTGTTTGATCAAACTCTATCCACTCACGGTTATGTCTCTATTCCATCACCTCACTAATTTTAAACGTCTTTCTTTTGGTCTCGTAATTTTTAATTCCAACATGTCTTCTAAAATATGGAGGCAAGTAGTGTTATAATTTCTGCAATATTACATGGGAAAAAAATCACATTTACCTTACATAAAAATAACAATTCTATATATACTATATATCTTTGAATATATATCTAAAATACTATGTAGAATACAAAATAACATTATAAATACTTGATCCCAAAATACTCCCAAAATCTTTTCTGTTACTCATAGTCAAATACCAGCATAAGTTACCGCTAACTAATTACATCCCTATCTATTAGCTAATTCGGAAAAGATAGTGGAAAATGATAATCAAAAAAATGGAGAAGTGGTTGGGTTTATGATTCGGCTTGAAGAATCAAACTCTTTAATAACTAACCTTTGCGAACTCGATCATCAATCTGTTCTCAGAATTGGAGATTTTCGTATATGCTCCAATATTTCCTAATACAAGATAATATCCCTGACAGTAATTTGATTTACATCTTGATTCAAAAATTTTATTTATTGTGGTGCACTACAACATATGAATATTCACATTCTATGTAAAATTGAATTTTGGAATGAGTTTGAAGCACTAATGTGCTACATCAACAACTCAGTTTTAATCTTTGAAACATGGACTTCACTGCTGTGTTAAGTGTGTATGAAAATTCAATATGCTTATGTAATCTACTCATTGGATTGCTTGTTGAACTGTTATCTTTTGAATTGTGGTATTGCATATGAAATACATTTATATCACTATGTGATAACTGATTGATGAAAAGGATCTTTAATTGGTTGATGGATTAGTTTGAAAAACTAATGTGGTCTGTTTTGGTTGTTTGCAGCTATGGATGTAATGAGTGTGTTAATAATTCGGTAAACAGATACATTTGGACTTATGTAATATATCGAACCATTAGTAGATGCAAATTAATGTTTCGCTGTGATCGGAAGAAATTAAATTGGTAGAAAATTGAGCCCCTGTTTGATTCCCATTTTTGGGATAAAATAAATTATGGAATAGTAGTTTTTTGGAGAATGTGTGGTTAAAAAGTAAGAAAAAGTTTTTGAAATTCGTGTATAATTATTTTATAGAAGAATGTGTGGTTGAAAATGAGTTTTAAAAAAATGCATTCTTGAACAAATGGGGATCAAACAAGGTCTGAATATTGCAGTCTTCTAGAAAATAATTAAAACTGGAGATCATACCAAAGATTCAGGGTATTACCATAATCCATTAGAAGTGTATCAATATAAAAAAGAGTAGCTGATCGAATTAGATAAAGCATAAGAGTTGGCCACTAGTGGATGGTACACGACCAGTTGGGACTTGCTGTGTGAGTCATTTACACGTTGAACCAATACAGTCCATAATGTAGCCTCTCTTGGAGCAACAGTGTCCTTGTCGCTTGATCAGTACCAAAATAAATGTCCCATTGAAATTCAAAGTACACTTTGTTTATCATTGTGCCCCAACTCTTAAAAAGCAGTGTAAACTCCAACATCTTTTAAGTGTAAACTCTTTGTTAGAGTAAATAATAATCCTTTCTAGATATCAGGTGCAAGTTACCTAGTCAATAAGCAGTTGTTCCTTAATTCCCTTTCTTATACATAGCTTGCATTCATTTTTAATTCACTAAGCATCACATAATTCACAGATTTTTTCATCACCTTTCTCTGCACAATCTGTGAGGAGGATTGCTCTTTCTCGTTTTTGATTTTTTTTTTTTTCCTTGTTTTTACACGTTCAGGTATTTTACACAGATGGCGGGAGAGAGGAATGAAAAACATGAAGTAGAAAACAAAAGTGATGCATGAAGCTCAAAGAACATCGGCACATTATCCTAGTTAGTGGCTATCTGTACTGCCCCTTCAAGACCTTCACTACAGATTAAATTGCTAGTTCTTATTCCATTCTTCCTAGTTTTGAATCTGTGTGGAAATTCTAGATATCAGGTGCAAGATACGTAGTCAATAAGCAGTTGTTCTTTAATTCCCTTTCTTCTATACAGCTTGCATTCATTTTTAATTCACTAAGCATTACATAATTCATGGATTTATTCATCGCCTTTATCTGCACTCTTTGTGAGGAGGTTTGCTCTTTCTCGTTTTTAATTAATTAATTAATTAATTTTTTTTCTTTCTTTTTTTTTTTTTAAACACATTCAGGTATTTTACACACAGCTGGCGGGAGAGGGGTGAAAACATGAAGTAGAAAACAAAAGGGGTGCATGAAGCTCAAAGAACATAGTACATTATCCCAGTTAGTGGCTATCCGTACTGTTGAACCATTGCATCCTGCCGTCCGAGTCCTTCACTACAGATTAAATTGCTAGTTATTATTCCATTCTTCCTAGTTTTGATTCTGTGGGGTCACAATTTTGTCAGCATTTAACAAAAACACGTTACAAACATTCGGTGTAATTCATTATGTAACACAAATTTGTATGATAGCGGAAAAGAGACGTGAAACTGCATACAATAAAATCATGTAAATGTGTAGTGTTACTTGTCTACTGAAAATCACACAATAAGATGGATTTCAAATTTTATGAAAAGATGACATGTAACGGTAAATTATGTTGCAGTAAAAATTAAATAGTTAGTATATGAGAAACCAAAATCAGGTACATTGAACAATTATGCATTACAAAGATTACGGTGCAACCCTAAATTATGACGCGTGTATGATACCTGTAATAATCCATAGCATTCTTTGACATAAATTTCGGGTCAAGAATCCTTAGTTGAAAAGATGAGTTCAAAGATCTTTTCAATGGTTGAATCACCTTGCTTTTCAAATTTCTAAATCTGCAATTTTCTTGCACTCTAATGATCCCAATCTCGATTACAATAAAAAAGGGATTATTATTCATAATTTAAATGACTTATTTTATGAATTTTCATGTCAAAATAGTGATTTTTAGGGTCTTTCCAATTTTGGCGACCTTTTCCATATGAATTTTCACCATTTTTCTTTTCTATCATTTTTTCTCTCAAAAATGCTAGACAAAAATTGGAAGTTTTGTGGGAGTTAACAGTGGTTACAGGGAGTTGCATGTTTAAATTTCAAGTTCAAACCACTTTTTCCAACCCTTATAACGTCTTGTGGGTCAGATCACCTCACGTGAGCAACCTACGACCTGTATTTTCCAACATCTTCTACTCGCACATGATAGGGTTGGCCTGAGCCACAAGTGATAACAAATGTAACAACTTAAATACTTCCCAATATCTATCTTACAAAATTTCATACGACAAATAGATCGTGCGGCCAGTGAGTAATATTAGAGCTCACAGTACTATAAACGTGTTAGAGATATATAGTAACTGTATTAGAGGAACATCACATTTCGCTATACTCCAAACTCATTTTTCAACATTAATTCAAGTATTTTCGACCCCTCAAGTATTTATGAAGCATACTTGAACCTCACATTAAATTATTGTATTCACGATTGTGTTCTATATCCTAAATGGTTAAACACAATTGTTCAGCCGGTGAATACAAATATAAGTCAAAATGGTTTTCCTTTCCTACTTGAATCCTTAAAATTTAAATCATCTGCTTTCCTAGACATGTGCCATCAAACCGAATGAATCATTGTCATTGGTAACATGTTAAAGTAGCAACATTGAAATAAAATTTCAAGAATCAGTCAAAAGTCATAAGAGTATATATGAGGTTATATAAACCTCAAGGTCTCGCATAATGAGGAAGCATGGATCCATTCGCTCATTTACTCAATATTGGTCGTAAAAGCACACGTGGTATAAAACACATGCTACGATATTTTCTCCATTTCTTAGGGCGCATGTTAGATTCTTATAAACAAATAACATTGTACAGATCCTAGTTAAGGTATTCCTCGATACCTAACTTGAATTCTCCTTTTGTTCATTTTTCTAGGCAATCTCAAATTGAGAACTCGACTTGACTAAACAGGTTCAATGGATAGCAAAATTTATTTCAATTACTTATTGTAATCTTATCTCGATATCTCATCAAGGTGACTGGATTATGTACACAACTTGATCATTTTGTCTCATCTCAGCACACCCCAAAGTGTCTAAGGCGATTGTTCGTGTGAGTGAACCAATCTCAACTTGTTCGACATACTTTATACGTGCATGCGAATTATTATCTCGTAACCCCAACATTAGATTACACATGAACTCAAACTTGTTCATATATGGGCATTAAAAACTCAATCAAGAGTTTTCCGATACACTAATTATTGTATTCTATGCAATTCTAGAATTACAACTTATCATCATACCTTTACGTAAACACAGTGATTTTCATCCACATGATGAAATTTTATACGAGATTTAAACCATGTTAAAACTCAAGTACCAGTGTCAAGATGTCTGCATTAGACTACAAGTGTAACTGTAAAGTTACCCTAATACTATATAAGCCTTCAACATGAAACCTACAAATCGATTCATTTAGATCCCTTCAATCAATTTCCAATCAAGAATGAAAATACAGTCTCCAAATCTATTTCGTATAATCTAAACTTAAACACATTATTGTGATTAGTATCGACATATAAAATTGTATCTCACTGCTAAGAAAAAAGGTTTATCTAAGTCAATATACTCATATTTAGTATAACATCTTTTTAAAAAATGAGCTTTATCTATCATAAATTCATTAATCTACCACTTAATTTTTAAGAACCCGAATGTTCTCAATAAACATAACGTCCAATTAGAACTTCCACCACATCTCAAATTAGATTGGAATTTCGTATTCCATATATACTTTCATCACTTTCCTTAAATTTCTCCACTGATTTTCTAGAACGAAGAATCATTGAAATTAAATAGCTCTTAATATCCACCCGAAGCCAAGAACCATTGAAATTAGATAGTTCTTTGATAGCTCTCACTCGGATATAGATTACTCACACTTGAATAAGAAGTTTAAACCAACTCTTTTGTATTCAAAAACTGATTCATCAATACACATAATATCAAATTCAATAATATTCTCCAAAAAACTTTCCCTCATTGTGAAAAAATGTCAAATGTCATATCTTGTAACCCAAAAATCCATCCAAAATTTCACTTAAGTACTTTTTTGGAACTGTCATGTGTATTTCACAGATACATCTCGTTCTTAAGAGACTTATGTTCTTAAATTTATTATTAAGAACTTATTTAGTCGAATTTTGAGTTTGGGATAACCCATAGTTGATTATCTTCTTGTCCAATGTTTATATATATTAAAGGTAACAACATTGAAAGAACTCAATTAAGTAACAGGTTGTTGGTAACCAAATGCATAAATTGGACTGTATTATCTCAAGCCTCATTACACTCGATAATATTCCATTCACTCTACTCAATAGACCATATAATTACTGTTGATTATGGAATAGTTATTTCAATAAGAATTTCTCTTTCATTACCTAGATCATCGAACTCTCGTGATAAAGATTCACGCTCTCAAACAATTTTCAAAGTCTTCAATTTCATTTTCCGATTTTCTACTCCACTTCAGAAAAATCTTAAAAAATACAATATTCTTAACTTAAAAAAATTAGGAGAACAACTGAAATGCATAAATTCATCAATATGTGTAACGAAAAATGAAGTTCCATCTCAATCTCTCTTAATCATAGCCAGCAAAGAAATTCAGATGGATTTACTCTATGGAAGTTTAACTATTAAAGTTTTGAATGGTTTTTTCAACTCAAAACTTCAAACCGTTGCACAAATATCAAGAATCATAATAAACACCATCACTATGAGTACAAAAAGGACTACCACATATAAGATCAAGTAAGAAGCCAGTTTTAGAAGAACAATAACTGAGATCAAATTTAGTGAAGTCTATATCAAATAGGAGGTCAGTTTCCTACTATGCAACATTAAGTTGCATATACCAATCATATAAACCTCCACTTCATAATTTGCATATATCTATTTTGTATTAAGTCAAAGACCATAGACTAAAGGCACTTCTTGATTTCATATAAAGTGGGTTTCTAACTCTTGAATCCACTATCTACATAAGATAAGATCTAATATATATATATATATTCAAATGCATTGTTATTTATATCAACTCATTTAGAGTTAAGAGATTTAAACCATTTGATTGAAACACTTGAACCTTTATAATATTGATCATCTACCAAAACCACTTTCATGCACTTACTAGGTCAATTTTTCACTCTCTTTATCTATGCCACATTGTTCTAACTCATTTAATACTTATGAGCCAAAATTTTATGCAAATTAGAACATTACTACACAAGCATGTCCTAGAGAATTAGCAATATTAAGTCACACGTCTTTCAATTCATATAGCGAGTAGTTTCAATACAGAAAATTGATGTTTCAATTCAAAGTTTTCATCCATTGAAATGAGAGTAGTTTGAACTTACTACTCATAAAAAATGTGACCAATATAATGTCAACACTATGTTAACCATCTCAACTAAGTAACATTTGAGAAAAAGATTATCTATAACAGAACTTAAGAATTCAAATGTTCAAGCACTAAAATCTATCTTTTCCCGTAGTTGACAAAGTTCTAATCTTTATTCCCTAGAGTAGTATGCCCACATCAAGTACTATTACGTGTTTGATGCTCTCTAAAGTATTAAGTTCTTCAAGTACACTTAAAATTTTATCATATCAAATGTTATCGCATTTAGCATATCACCTTTATTAAGGCCAACAATTATGGATTTTGAAGCCATGATCTATCAGAATTTAGAGACATTTTTATTCGCGATCAATGTCCATTTATGCAAATATAAAATTTTGCATTAACGCAAATTAACGTATACGATAGTTCAACATTAGCCATAGAGTCAAAAGTTTACTATGTTTCCAATGATCGTCCGCAATCCTATTATTTCACCATCATAGACTTAATTCTTCCAACTTGAGAACTCCCACTCAGTTGCCGAATCAAATAGTTCTAGGTGAAACTTTCTCTAAATCTTCCAATTATCGAATTATCATTCAATTGACAATCAATGGGTCTAAGTAAGAATCTCATTAATTCTACTGACCTTAGCATTCATAACAATTTACGAATTAATATATATCGTGTAATTCAATAATTTAATTTAATGATGTGCAATAAAAGTATAAACATGCATGTTATCCAATTATGATATATATCATGATATCACAAATTCATTCTTCCAGTAATTCCAATTATAATCAAAGAATAAAACTTACATCATTTAAGTTTTATTATACAAATTCTCAACCTCACTTTAATATCTACTGCAAACAATCCAAAAAAAAAAAAATGGAAAGTGACATCAGAATTCTCATATTCTGCTTATTACCAAAAAAATTCCCAAAAATATTTGCATGTTCCATTAGTTCATGTTCCAGATTCGTTTATTAGTTTCCATAAGCACGTAGCTCTTCACTTAGTTCCATAACTTTCATTTTTCTAGCATTCCCTCTAAGGATGCTATATGTGTGCATAAATTCAATAATACCTTATCAAGCACAAAAATTGGAAACAAGTTATA